TAATTATTTAGAATTTTAGGTATGAATACAGAATAAATGAAATCTAAATGGTCACTGATAAGATTTTACATAAGTAACATAGAGGAGTTCAAAATTAATTTGGCCATTGTTATGGAGTCCCAACGGTGTATTTATTTCGTATATTCTATGGTTTAATAAACAATATGTATCAAATAAGTGAAGTGCATTTAATGTTTCCAATACAATTACCACAGAATAAGTAACTAATATAGGATTCCATGATTATTGGGACTAAATATTATTTACAACTATAAGTAACCATCCTGATTTTATATATTTGTGGTATAAGTATTAAATTAAACGAAAGAGGACTCAATTTACCTATAGTCATTATTGAATAATTCATATTTTTATGTCAATATATTGCAAATTCTTGAATTTTATATCATGTTTAAATACTTGTTTTTTTTTAATAATTTGCAACATATACATATTTATATATCATTACTTAAACAAAAACACTTACATACGTACATATTATTGTTAGATAATAATATTTATTTAGCCAATATTGACATTCCTTACAGTCTTACAGGATTTCATGATAATACATTTTATTAAATAAATAGAAGTACAAAGACATAGTTATCATTATTGCTACTAGTAAATGTTTTTATGATAAATTAAGAAATTTATAACTATAACAATTATTTACTTATTTACCATAAATAAATAATATATATATATATATTAAACTATAAAAATTTTTTCTTAAAATTTTATTTATTTGACCTTAAATTAGAGTTCAAATAAAAATAAACTTGTTCCAACACATAACTGGTTTTTTATACATTATAAAAAAATCATTAGTATTTTTATTAACATTTTAAAATTACTTACTGTTTAATATTGTTTAACTAAGAAAATCTGCTCTTATTTGAACGAAAATAATTGTATGAAAACTTTCTAGTATACTATTATACTATTTTACATTTAAATAAACTCATTATTATTATCTTATTATTTATTCGTTGACTGTAATATATACATATATTCTATAAATAATATTTATGTATTTTCATTCTAAGTATGTTCAATCTTAGATTGCATAGAACCATTAATATTTACAAATGGCCGTGTTCAAATGCGAGATAAATATAAATGTTTACCTATTTCGGTGTAAAAGCTTATAAAATGTTAGAATTTTATTATAATGCATTGAAAATGATTAGAATATTCTTGAAAAATACGAATACTTAATAGCCTCATCAACTAATTTAAAGTTTAACAAATATAAATTTACTGTTAACCCATTACGATTAGAATGGAATACAGGACGTGATAATCTTACACCGTAATTGGCTGAAAACACAAATACGCCTGTTTTCTTTATAATTTTAATGAGCACTTGGTTACAACAATTTTACAATAACGGCGGCTGTATAATATTGTGAATAAATAAACAACATTTTTGCGTTTCGATTAATTCGGCAAATTTTTGGCGAAACGACTTTAACATTCAGTACACTCTAACGATTCATGTCATGCTGTTTATGATCAAAAAGAATCAGGAGTTATTCTTAACTCTGTGACCAGACCGGAAATTGTATCATTAAAGAAACCTTAGTCATGTATATTAATATTATTTTTTGTTGGTCATGCAGTAATTTTACTTGATCTTTTTTTTCTTCTTTGGCAAGTAGACCACATCGATTCTGAGTCGCGAGTATATTGATATAAATTCCTTACATAAAACAGGGGAACAAAAATTATGATTAGCTATCGGTGGTAAACGGATTTTTAGTACAAGTATTACATCGTATTATATCTAGCGTAACTTAATATAATTGTTTCTTTAGTCAAACTTTGTTAGCATTGTCTTAAGATGTAGTATAAGGTGGCTGACTTAAACAATATTCGACACACGTCGTGTTCTTACATATATGGCTTCTATAAATAATAATAAGACTTTTTTTTTTCGATAGAAATCTTTACAGGCCACTGTATTAGATTAGTGTACGGAATTATAGTTGTCGAGTATAGGCACATATATTTGTCTCGTTATCGTTTACATTTAATGTGATTCTAACAGATTTTTCTGCAAAAATACCAAGTAGGTTTTTATTGCCTCATGTTTATTTTTTATTGTATACTTCAAACGTATATAATACTACGTATATAGATACAACCTTTATTTTTTTACTACAGCTGTTGCCGGAAGATATATATACTTTTGTAGCTTTATTAAAAATACGCGGTATAATTTATAAGTATAAAATCGTGTAATGAAGCGTTTGTGTTTTTATAACGTCAATAAATATATAATATCAAGGTCAATAATAAACGTTTAACGATAAAGTACTAAATCGGTTAAGTCGATACCGATATTTTGTTGTATTTTCGATACAATGGCTGTTCAGTCGATAAATACAAAATGAAAACGTAAATAGCTAATTATCTCTTTTCTTTCAATGTAATTGATGGTATAAATATATTCTATACAATATCCAATATGCTTACTTAAATATGCATATTTATAATATACCATTACGGCTAATCCCCGGTAGATTATGCACTTGCGTCATTGGTATGGTTATTAATAGTCTTATAAGATTTCCACTCCGATCATAAACCGTTCTCATCAAATTTACGGATCCGCTTACACTACTGCTTATCAAGAAATTATTCAATAAAAACAGAAAATTTTGCATAATTATTAACTAATATTATGCATGTTATTATTAATTAGTAATCATACAGTTATTAGTTTCTTATGTGGTTTTTTGAACTGATATTGTTCAATTTTTTTTTCTACTATGGATTTTAAAGTTATTATTTATTTTATCGTTTTAGAAAAATAAAAATATATTCATAATAATTGAATCTTTAAGTCTTTAGATTCATTTATTATGTACATTATTTACACCTTATAAAAATAATAAAGTTATATAAAATTAAATAAAAATTAAAAATTAGTAAATGGTTCATACTCATAAATTATTATAAAAATAAATAAAAAAATTTATAAAAAAATATATAGAAATAAATAATAAATAAATGCTTAGTCTGGAGTATTATTATATTTATAAACTACGATGGATTTTGAATAATTCAAAAATAATGTAAATATAAATATATTATATATATAATATATATTATATTTTATATTATTATAAAATCATCATTAGTATGGTTACGATACAAAGTCAATAAAATTGCAAGTCATTTTATTAACGTTAGATATATTCGATGATGAATTTTTAATCTGAAACTGGTCGAATTTTATAAATATAATAATACTCCAGACTAAGAATTTATTTATTTATTATTTATTTCTGTGTATTCTATATTTTCTATATTTGTTTATTTATTTATATATTATAAAAATATACAATCATAATTTTAAACTATGTTTTTTGAATTAAATAGATTTCATTCACCTGCCCATTTACTATGTAATATGTATGTACAAAATTAATTATTATTCATTTTATTTGAAAAATAATTGTAAATGCAAATTTAAATTGATTAATTTATATGATTATTTATTTTGAAAAAATGCGTTATTTAAATAATAAATTATTCAATAAAAATGAAATATTTTAACAAATAATAAATAACTTCTTATTTTTTAATGTGGCTATAGTTGGTTATGTAATTTAGGTATATATATTTAAAAAAGTTTTAATCCAATTAGAAATAAAATTTTCCAAATTTATTCTGAAACATCTGTTTCAACGTAGGCAATGTAGTAAACTAGTTGTATTCATAATATCAAAAATAATATGTTATTGTTTTGGTTTTTAAATTAATTATTATTGTTAATACATTTTAAAACTAATAAAAAACGTAAAAATAAAATAAAATAAAGTCTGATGATAATTTTGATACGAATTTAAAATATTTATGTCTCTTTTATGATGTATGGAAAATTTAATCAAGTGAAATTGTGATTTAAATTAAATATCATACTAATATTTATAGATATAAATTGTTTACATAGATATATTTATAATATAGTCCACACATTGTTTATTCAATTAATATTATTTATCATATTTAATATACGTGCAATACACTGATTAAGAACATATGCCTTTACTTTGGTGTATACAAAAAAAAAAAAAAAAAAATGAGCATGTTTAATCGAGGTTCTACTGTATAAACTTAAGAATTAAAAATATGCAATACAAGTATTACATAAACTTTTACTGAATTTTTACTGTTCGGAGAAATAAGTACGGTTAATCACGAACATGGATAATCGAGGCACGGTTAATTGAGGTTCTACTGTATTCTTATCGTTTCTAGTGTAATAATTGTTTGATCCATGATTTAACACAAAATAATTATTTTATAAAGTAATTTAATATTTTATTAAAAAAATATATGAATCCATTATGAATAAAATCAAAACAAATTGTTTCTTATAAATTTAAAATTTATAAATTATATTTATAATAATCAGAAATTTTAATAAAAATATAACAAAACGTTAGAAACGGTTTTAGTTAATTAGTCGTAGTTAAATACATAGAGTTGCAATTTAAAAGAACCATTTGAATTCTGTTATCATTAAATTTATCATTTGATTGACGAATTACGAAAATAATTTACAAGACGGCGTATTATGTTGGCAATTTTGATACTTCAATGCGCACGGGAACATTTGTCTGTTGTACGTATATATATATACTCAGGGGTGTGTTTTCTGCTGGAAAGCATTAAAAACTAAAAAATAATCAAATATAAATTGAATTTTGGTTGTTATTTACTTGGATTTTTCTTTTTTACTTTTCATTTTATGTCTCCCTTGTTTTACGCCCACTTAAACCATTATGTCACCGGGGACGAAAAACACTAACATTCATTTCTACTGACACTGACAGGAAAATCGTAACTCGTTTGTCAAGTAGAATGCCGTTTTATTGCACTCCAAAACGGGGCTTTGTCACCTCTGTACATCTTGTATGATACCATGCGATTAAATCGAAAATATTGTTGTAACTCGGAAAAATATTAATTTTAATGGTACCAACCTGTTCAGCCGTCTTTGTAACGAACAGATGACAATATTGTTTATTAATATGACCACCTGGTTGTCTGGCCAGGAAACAAAACTGTTTACAACCCGGATCGCACGTAGCGTACGACACTCTTCTGAGTCCGTGAGCCATTAACACCTCCTGTAATGATAATTATTAATAAATAACGTTTTTCTGTGTTTTATCAAAATAGAGGTTTAAAGATTACGGAGCGTTCGGAAGTGAAGGGAACGGATGAATTTTGTAGGAAATGAATTAATTTCCTGCTGTCGTTGATAATGTGATCGAATACCGTACCGAATAGTCAAGCAATTGAATGTCAAGATATTTTCATTTCCCAATCCCTCTCCTCAGTTTCCGGCATACACGTTGAGTGTATTAAAATATATAAGTATATTTATATTGAATATATTTGTGTGTTTTAAACTAATTATTGTGTAACAGGACCTAATTGAAAATACTTCAATCGATACACATTAATGTATTGGATTAATTTAACAACTTTCGGTGCGAGAGTTATGATTTTTATTTTTGTAATAAGATTCAAATTGAAAAAAATAATTATAATAAGTAATAATAATATATATATTATATTTTTAAATAACTAAATTTGTAATCAAAGTTAAAATTAATGTAGTTAATATTAAATAAAACATCATTGCACATTTTGATCAATTATTGGGGAATGCATGATTCATTAAACATGGCTCATCTGATGTGCATATTATTACGTTTGCTATTTCAAAAAAAAAAAAAAAAGGAAAAATGAAAAAGGTTAAAAAATACACAAACAAGTTGTCAGGAAAATAAAACCATACAGATCTTGTTACTAAAGTTTGGGTTATATTATATCGAATTGAATATTAATTATTATTTTCTAGAAATACATGCGTCAATAATTTGAATCATGTAGGCAAATAAAAAGAGGAAAAGTCTGATATTTTTTGTTTTGATCGATATAATATTCATGAATGTAGATGATTTAAGCCTTCTCTCGGTACTGTTATAAGAAGTCTATTCTTATAAATATAAAACTTGAATGTCTAATTCAAGTTATTTTTCAAAGGAAATTTATTATTAAAATATTTTACTTCATTTTTAGTACAAATAATTCTATAAATACATACAAGCACGTGTTGGAAGTTATTTTATTATTTTTCTTAACATTATGGAAAATATTCCTAAAGTTTATTAAAAAATAAATTCTTGAATATATTGTTTTCAAATTTAATAGATAATTGAATTATTAATGCATCTAAGGAGGAAGGGTTTAAATAAACTATACTTTTTTTTATTTCAGAAAAAACATTCTTACTGACTCAAAATTAGCCTATTCAATATTATTTAAGAGGCGTTTTAGTTTAAGGAAATGCTTTATTTTGTTTTACATACAATAAATTAAATAAAAGTACATTAATATTAGCAGGTTATCATACCGAATTTAATAATATTGAAATTAATTTCCAAAAATGAGTTTTCATTTTTAAATTCTTTTTTTCTCATATAAATCACCATTTTTAATATTTATCGTATAGATATAATATAACATCAGATAAATATTATTTTTCAACAGCAATTTTATTGTATATATTAAAGTAAAAAATACTATACGAATTTATAACGGATTATTAAATTGGAACGTGTTTGATTGTGAAATGTGTTAAATTTAGTAGCCCAATGTGTTTAAGGCATAAAAAAATGAACATGTAGATGAGTATAAAAATTATGGGAATAAAATCGTCCTTAGAAATACAATATTTTTTCCCTTTTATTTATTTCGATTTCTTCTACCATTAATATATTGTATGCTATTATTTTTCACGTACTTATGATAAACGCACATAAAACAAATATGTGACGGATTTTCGTGGACATTGCATTTCGATATACATACACACGTACGCGCGCGCATATCCAAAACGCATACAGGAGCTTAGAAAAACACCAGTTCCCGCATGTTACGTCCATACATTATTCATGTTTACGGATTATTGTCGTAGTAGGGTACGCGTATATAAATAAATATATGTAAGTACACACATTCACTCACTCACACACATACATACACATTCATATATGTACACTGAAATGAGAATACTAAGAGAATACGATTTATTTTCGTACTTATTTTTCTTGCTGGATAACAAAAGGGGAAAATGAGCAAAAGAAAAAAAAAATCATTTTTATACTATCAAGTACACGTGAGTACGTAATATAGGAATGTATATGAAGAGTAGTATAAAATATGTGTTTTTCTGAATATCCTCAAAGGTGGATGGTCTATTATAAAACGTGTGGTAACAGAAGGGTTTAAGCTTTTTAAAACTTGTAAAAATATACACGTTGGTTTACCAGTGCAATTGAAGAATTTCTAGACTGTCTTCTTCCATTAAAGGATATGTCTGATAAATCATTTAAATTGAAAATATATGTATATATAACAATTTATGCATAGGACGCACAGATACATAGCTAATATGTATATTCAATTGATAAATAAAATTACGTATGCACAGATTAGATCAAATCTTGTAGATTTTGCTTCGCAAACATATATTGAATATATATAAATATACATTTGTAGTCATTTAAACTATATCATCACTATATCCATCAAATCTATTCAGAGATTTTCATAAGTTCTTATTTTTTCGTTCAACCTTTTACCTACCATTATGCTTTCTTTTAGTGTATGTACGATTTATATTTTATGTATGTATATAATACTGATATTTATGGTATTGAAGAAAAACGTATAGGAATACCATTTTTTCTATTATTTTCTATTAATGATATGAAAAAAAAACCACTTAAGTGGACTTAATATTAACACTTTTGAAAACTACAAGTACGTACATTGGCATGAAATCCAATTATAAAAATAATGAAGAATACATTTTTTTGTAAAGTTTATTTTGACAAATATTTAAAAAAACCGTCATTATATTGCTTTAAAGTAAATTATGTTTTAATGAATAACTTACAAATGATAACTTATTATACTTTATGTGAAACGTATAGGCTTTTTATATAAAATAAAATAATTTTTTTTTTTTTCATAATTCAGATATGGAATTTAATTATTTTAAAAAGTGGAATATATATAAACTACTTATAAAAATAATATAATTTATTAACATAACAAAATAACATAAGTCATTAATATAATATATAGATATATTATTTTTCTTTAAATTAATTTTAAATTAAAATCAACTGTTATTTAAAAATATTATAACTGTTTATCATATTAAACACAGACAGGAGACATTGAGATTTTGGTAACTTTTTGAATGCATAGAATTGAATAATTTTACAATAATAATTTATGAAATACTAATTGGTCAACAAACTAAAATTTTTTTAAAATTGGGAAAAATTATTTTAGATTTTTATAAACTAAATTGTAGTCTCTTAAAATATTTAACAATTACAGGTCGTTCATTCCATTTTATTCGATATATCTTGTTTATGTGTTCTGTGTAAATATTTGGAAGATTACAACACTTTAAAATTAGTTACTATAGGGTTGAATAGAAGTTTATAATGTTCATATTTGGTTTTAAGTGAGGATTATATTAAACTCATGTAATAGTTAATATTGGCTTGTGAATAAATAAATAATACTCATACACTGTTTAAAAAATGTTGGTTTTTGTGTTTTATAAAACTGTCCTTGAAAGTAATTTTTTTCATACGTATTAAAATACGAAAATTAATTTAAAAAATAAATGTTTAAACATTAATAAGGGATTAACGAAAATCGAATAGTGCATTTCTAATTAAATTTAACAGATAAGTAATAAAGGTAGGGGGAAATTAATTTTGGCAAACAGTCCAGTTCGAGTGTATGAGTGCACACGTGGATGTATCTGTGTGTGTTGACGAGGCCATATATGAGGAAAAGAGGGATATTGTGAGACAGAGGCGAGTGTATAAATACGCGTGGAAAGGTGAAGTCGGTACTGTTAAGCATCGCGGGGGCCACGTCAAAAGCCGTTTGATTGATTGTTATATCGTACGCCTTTGACAGGTTGATTAATTAACGATAGTAGCCGTCTCTGATGGTGGCAGCTACGGAAAGGAGAGAGCGACAGAAAGCTAGTAGGAGGAAAAAAAGGTGATACCCAGGTAAACTCTACCACCATCGCCATCTTGTTTTTTGCTTTGCCCTTACCTCTGTTGGTTCTAATGTTCCACTTCCCCTGTTCAAATTTTGATACATGTTCAACCACATTATACATCTTAAACATGCTCATTAATCAACCCGACCAAAAAGTATTCCATCATCATCCTTTTCGTCGTGGACCTTTATGGAAAGGATTACTCTCTTTTTCATATTTTCTCTCTGATCGTTTTAAACGAAGATACACTAACGTTTAAATCCTGTTCTGTCATGTAGTGCGTTTCAGTCCTTACGTCATTTGTTTTTTTCGTCAATATCAGCATTTGTAACGATTATAACGTTCCGAGTAAATTATATCAACCAAAAACCATTTACCATTTTAAGGAATTATGATTTAAAATGTATTAAGTATTATCTAAATTGGGTTTGGCCAATCTTTTTCAATATCATGCTAAATAAATAATAAAAAAATTGCGATATGCCATAAAAAATTACCACTTTGTTCCTTAATTCAAAATAATAAAAAATATTAACTTCTAATTTATATTTCTAAGTTTTTTATAATATAAAAATAGAACACGTGAACTATGTCTATGAATAATAAATTTCTAAAAGTCTCTAAAAGATAGTACAATTACACCGGTGTCCAATTTCCGATGTTATTCGAAGACACTATATTAACTATTCATTACGATTATCAGGTTAAAATATATTTACTGTCTAGTAAAGGATTATCCGATTACTTGTTAAACGTAGCCGGTGTTAAATGACCGTCTGGGAATAGTTAGTGTTAATTAGAACATCTAAATATGTGATATTTTATACTTGGATCATACAATATATATATTATATACTAACCGTCCCGAATTCACATTGTTTATATTTTTTTTGATAATTTTTATAAATTCATTATTACTAAAAAATTTGGTTCATTTTCCCTCCAAAAATATTAAATCAGTGCCATAATTATTACAGATTTTTCGAATTTTACATCAAACAAAATTATTATACATTT